CCTGAAAAACTAGCTATTTCCTTTTTTTGTTTGATACAATTTCCTTAATTTTTAAAACAAATAAACCTGAAAAACTAGATATTTCCTTTTTTGTTTGATACAATTAATTTCCTTAATTTTGAAAAATTTAGTCTATAAGGTGGTCCCACAAGTCATGAAATTATCCAAATTTATGGAACATTCCAAAGACAAGTCTATTTGGAATAGGAGTTAGACAAAACGTAATTCATGTTGAGTTTGGATTTATATAGATCCCTGAAATTATATATACAGTGTAAATCGATCTTCTTCATCATCATTAAATCAACAATCATGAAAAATTGCAAGAGACCTCGGACGAGTCAGGAGAGTGAGTTTTATCAATATCCTACGGATTGTTCGGAGGAAGAGATTCAACTACGCTGTGAGTTTGTGAAAAAACTGAAAACGTTGGATGATAAGAGAGTCTTCGAACAATTTGTTCGTGCAGTGAAGTCTTATCAATCAGGTTCTGTAACCTACATCGACCTCAAAAACAAACTTGTTTCCATCCTCCGTAATCACCAAGATTTGCTCCACGAGGTTTTGTCCGGCTTTGCTTCTCCTGCAAGAAACTCGAAGAACCCAAATACGAAATCAGACATAGTACGCATTGGTGTGCTCTTAAACAAAGTCCAAGCTTTGGGGGAGACTGTATACAAAGCGTTTATTGGTACGGTAGGGTTTTCCTGCGATATCGAGGTTATGATTGAACAACTCGAAGAGGTTTTCCGCGATCACACGTCTTTGAAAGAAGAGTTTAAAACGATACTAATCGATTCTCGATTACTAAAACCGAAACGCCGTTTGGAGGCGGTAGCGAAACCCGTTACAGAGAACAAGCGGGCTAATCAAAAGATTTCTGAGAACGTGACTCCGTCGTATCGGATTAGACCTGATTATGTAGAGGGATCTTCCTCTCATGAGGTTTTAAACGATAAATACGTTTTGGTTGGTGGGTATGATCCTGATAAAGTAGTCCATAAGAGGAAACGGCATTGGCGCGATGTGAGAATAAATAAGCTCGATGACAAATTGCTCGAGGACGACCTGTTCTTGACAAACGTTCCTTCGGTTATTAGGTTTGGGAAGAATGACTTGTGTGACAAGGAACTATGTGAGAAGCCCCCGTTAGGGTTTACGCAAGTCATACAACGGTTTCATAAAGGGAAGAAAGTGCCACAAATATTTAGGACAGATCCGAAAAATGCGGTACGAGGGATTTTACCTAGATTGCAGAGTATGGAGAAGGAGATAAGAAAGGCGAAAAAATGTAACCTGAGAAGAATCGATAATCGTGTGAAGTATAATGTGAACAAGTGAAGTGTCTTTGTTTTGTTATTTTACCAAAAAAATTTCGACATTAATATGAATCTCGTTTATGTTTTGTTTTACTCGAGTCTCCCAAAATTCAGGTATGATGACAACGGGTTGGTGTTATCAACTATGACCTTGATTTTAATGCTTCCGAAGAGTTTTAAGATCTGTAGTTTATGTATAATAACTAAATGTTTAGCTGTGGAAAGACAGAGAAAAACTTCTCTATTAATCTGACATATAAGTTTTTTTAATTCTATACAAAAATTAATAAACAAATTAAGAAAGTCCTTTTTAGCAAAATAAAGTCCTTACATTACAACCATCATATCAATATATCGTATACATTTTTTTTGCTACACATTCACACATATATATGATAGACATGTAAGCTACATTATCAAAAGCCTATAATGTCTTATTTAGTCCTTTTATAATTTGCTAAATTTAATATCCCGATATGATCACTCACCTCTAACTCTAAACTCAATTTTGTGCAAGCAATCGTACATATAAATAATAAAGAACACAAATATTAATGACAATTATGGCATAGTATATAGGTTAGTTAAGCTTCTGATAATCTCACTTCGCTTGTAAGTGAAAATTAGGAGATCGAGGATCCTCAATTCTAGAAATGAAAGCTCATAAAAACTA